TGGAGGTACTAGATTAGCTGGAAAAATAGCTCGAAAGGAAGGAGTTGCCATTAATTTAGGAGGAGGTTTTCATCACTGTAGTAAAAATCGTGGTGGAGGGTTTTGTCCATATGCTGATATATCATTGRTTGTGAACGATGCATTACAAGAAAATGACTGTAAACTGGTGATGATTATTGATTTAGATGCTCACCAGGTTAGTTAAAATTCTGAAAAAAAAACCCTAGACTTGTTTAAAAAAAATTTAGGACATTTTTTAAAGGGTAATGGATATGAAAGAGATTTTATTGGCAACTCAAAAGTATTTATTATTGATGTATTTAATAAAAATATATACCCAAAAGATACATATGCAGAAACTGCCATTTCAAAGGCTGTGAAACTAGATTACTTTATACAAGATTATGAATATTTAACCACCGTTGAAAGGTAAATAAATACCTATTGGCTATAAGCTAATAAAATTAAGTTCAATTAAGAATATATTAAGGTTGTAAATAAATTAATTTAAGTATAAAATTTTAATATTCAGTATAAAGTATTCTATTAGCATTATAAGCATAGTATGCTGTACTTATAGTACCTATCTTATTAGTTGGTACCTAAATACCTAATGTAATCTACTAAACATGAAAACATTAATGTATGCATATAAACAACATTTTGTTTTGTTCATTTTTCACACTACGCTATCCCTTCCTACTACTAAAATGCATATAAAATAGTATGTACTTGTGTCATTTTACAATTTACATTTGTCATGATATGTTATGACCTTGTTACACGTAACTCTGCACAGTCAGCTTTTTACACATTTTATCTATGTAATATGTATATTGTATATAATTATCATTAACAGTTATATTTAACAATAATTATCAAATTTAGAATTAAAATTGCACTTAAAAATGCTTTTAATTAGTTGGTAATAGATACAGATGCCTAATAATAATAAAAATTACCATATTATAATTTATTAGGCAGTTGTTAATAATTATACTAACRTTATCATCAACCCCTAGGTTGTGTATTTTAAATATCTACATAGGCATGTGTTTTATAAGAATTTAATTTAATAGAAATATAATTATTATAGATGGTAAAAATCATAGTTTATTTAGTGAAATAAAATAATTATAATCCAATAGTCCGTGGTATCTAGTAATAACTAAATATAATTAGCAGAAAATTAACTAGTCTACCAAGTACCAGTATATAGTTTTATAGTTGATATGATGTTTTTATTATAATCTGKAATTTATGATGACAATCATTGTGCATTATTAATTTTCAATTACTTATTAATTATTTTAACTTTAATAATAATTAATAAAATGTATACATTTCAATATTTTGTAACTATTTTTAGTGYTTTGATTGAATCACTGCTGAAAGTTAAACCAGATTTCATAATTTATAATGCAGGTACAGACATTTTAAAAGGAGATAAATTGGGGTTACTCTCTATCACTCCAGAGGCAAGTTTTCATTTGATTTTGTTATTAAACTAATTATTTTCATGGTAATATTAGATTTAGTTATACAACTGTTGAACTGTATTTATTGTATTATAAATTACTAACTGATCCCCGTGCACTTCGTTACCCGTTAAAAATACCGATTTGATATGATTCAAAATGTTTTGGTTTATTCATGCCATAAATCCCATGGATTTACCCTATCTTAATCTCCATATAAGATTTTTAACACAGTTATTTAAAACAGAGGACTAAAAATATATTCATTCATAGTATTTTCTTTCATTTTAGCTTGCTTTGTAAAGGTGAAACAATTTATTATTTGGTACCTATACTGGCTATACTCCACGCCACGAGAGAAGGAACCCGTTTCGCGCATGCACTATGCAGTCTGACGACAGCTAGCGGTATTGGCCATTGGGTTCCGTTTCCCCCCACTTTGTCCTCTACAGTTGGCGTTGTGGCGTGCATACATGCGCGAATTCGATTGCGATTTGGACGATTTGGTCGGGACACGGGTTCCTTCTCTCGTGGCACGGAGTATAATAACAAATTGCTAATTTCTTATTCTTCCATACTAATTTTTAATATTTTTA